CTGGGGAGGAGGGTAGAGAGAATGGTGCAGCAACGAAGGAATGAAAACCCAAAATCCCTGTAAATGTTCATTAAAACTAATAAAATGTAATAATAAATTTAAAATAAAATAAAAAAAAAGAAAAAATCTTTAAAATAAGAGGGAAAAGAAAATTTTTTTCACTTAACGCAACAGAGACCACTGATATTTATGTCTATTACTGTAAGATCTACAGTACAAATAATGGCAGGGAAAGAGAAACTAAAAACACAGTATGTTGACTCTAACAAACTAAAAGTACTTAAAGACCCATCATTTAAATACAGGTATCTGGTTAAATAAAAAAATACTTATGGAGTCAATGATTTAGATTTCCTTATGGAAACTTCCTAAGATTCCTAACTCTGCTAAGCAGAAATATAAATGGGTGGGGGGGGGAGAAGAAAGTAGGGAGAAAAAAATTTAATCTGTCTTACAGTGGTGCTTATGAATAGCTCACAAATTACTGGAGGTTCCAGTTATAAAGAACTCCCAAGAATCTTACTGGGAGAAAAAACTGGCCATAAGCATACACTATCACATTATTTGACATAAACATTTATTTAAACATTAATAGTAGAGAATAAAAAATAGCTTGATATAGTTAAAAAACTTCAATAAAACAAAAAAAGGTAAGAGTAGCACTATTATCTTTGTTTGATTCTGTCAAACAAAATTAAATCAGTTCAATAATTTTTCTTCAGTATTACAGATAAAGCCTTTGAGGTTAAAAAGGATAGTGAAACTATCTGAGAGCTATTATACTGAATGTAGAGATCTCTAGAGAGCTGCATTCACCAATCAGCCAAACCAAAAGAAAAAGTAAAATTTTCTAACCAATAAATCTTCAGCTTATTTATCTTTGAACAAAGTACATTTCCTCTTGCTTACCAAATTATACAGGGAAGGGGGGCAAAATTTAACAGTATGTTAAAATATGGACATTTAAAAATAAAGTCAAGCTGAGCTCTGGTGGCCTAATGGCAAGAAGATGCACCGCAATCCCAGAGGTGCACAGTTCGAATCCACCAGATGCTCAGCTGGAGGAGGGAAAATCTCCTCCTGTACCAGTCAGATACAATTTGACAGTACACACACACACAATAATAATAATAATAATTTTTTTTTAAAAAAAGTTTTTTTTTTAAAAAAAGTTAAGTTTTCCATTTACATTCATTTACATTGAATAACACATCGTGCCAAGGGATTTGAAAACTAGGATGGTGACAGGCAGTTCAACAAGTAAGCTTCACTTGGATGATAGTTTACTTCAAAGATTAAATTCTAACAAAAGATGATAAAGTACATTTAGCTACCCAAGTACACTTTTATCAATAAACAACATGATCAAGCTTAGTTTTACTGTCACTAATAAAGTTATACTGTACCTATATTTTTAGAGAAGGCAAATACTCCATTGCATTGACAGGTTAGTATTATATGAGTAAAGATATTAAAAAGTTGACTGTGTAAGAGGAAGATTACTTATGTAACATAATTTACATACCATGTAATTCACCCACTCAAGTGCACAATTCAACGGTTTATACTCACAGAATTGTGTAACCATAATCACATCAATTTAGAATTTTGTTCCAAAAATATATTCACTGCCAGCTGACTCTCCAGTGAGCTTTCAGAGGGTATAAACTGCAGACTATACATATTCCTCCAGCAGAACTGGTGGTGAATGTGAACTGCCAGAGAGGTGCTACCTTTGAGTTTAGCAGCCCAACTCTCAAATTAAAAAATATAGCTCATACAGATTAAGAGTCACTGTTCATGTCTTCCCAAACCTCCATTCCTATTATCTCTATGAATTTGTCTATCCTGGATATTTTTTACAAATGGCAACATTCAGCCTTTTCTATGAAGATGGCGCCACAAGCGAAGAAGGAAGCCCCTGCCCCTCCCAAAACTGAAGCCAAAGCAAAGGCATTAAAGGCCAAGAAGGCAGTCCTGAAGGGCGTCCACAGCCAAAAAAAAAAAAAAAGATCCGCATGTCACCCACCTTCTGGAGGCCTAAGACACTGAGACTCTGAAGGCAGCCCAAATACCCCCGGAAGAGCGCCCCCAGGAGAAACAAGCTTGACCACTATGCCATCATCAAATTTCCCCTGACCACTGAATCAGCTATGAAGAAGATAGAAGATAACAACACACTTGTGTTCATTGTGGATGTGAAGGCCAACAAGCACCAAATTAAACAAGCTGTAAAGAAGCTCTATGACATTGATGTGGCTAAGGTCAACACTTTGATTAGGCCTGATGGAGAGAAGAAGGCCTATGTTCTACTTGTTCCTGATTATGATGCTTTGGATGTTGCCAACAAAATTGGGATCATCTAAACTGAGTCCAGCAGGCTAACTCTAAATATAAATTTTTCTCACCAAAAAAAAAAAAAACTACACAAAACAAAAAATGGCAACATTCAATATGTAGCTTTTGTGAATAATTTCAAGTAATAAAAGGATTTTTTAAAATTATTTTATTTTATTATTTGTACCATCAAATCAGATCTGACTAGTACAGGAGGAGACTGTCCCTCCTTCCTCGGCAGAGCATCTGGTGGATTCGAACTGTGCGCCTCGGGGATCAAGTAATAAAATGATTTTAAGGTTCATTCATGATACACCACTATTACCATTAATTAGTATTTGACTGCTTTCTACTGTCAAATATTTCACTGCATGGCTACATTTAATTTTATTCATCCATTCACCAGTTAGTGGACATTTTCACCTTTTTCATGGTGTCCTTCAACATTTTTTAGTTCTGATGAAGTTCTATTACCTATTTTTTTCTTTTACTGCTTGTGCTTTAGAAAGAGCTTTATTGACTATATCAGAGTAACAAATTTCCCATCTAAGAAAGGAATAGGACAGTGCTAACTGGGGCCAAGATTATGGTAGACGGAGAAAAGACTGAGGTGGCTTGACTTCACCTTGCTCAGATCAACAACCTTGGCACCAGAAGTCAGGAAATCAAAAGATGAGAATCTTTAAGAGTTCAGGGGAGCCAGACCAGAACATGGTTTTCTCAACTGTTTGCTATTCATCTGAGAGCTGGACAATGAATAAGGATAACAGAAGAAAAATTGATGCCTCTGAATTGTGGTACTAGAAAAGAGTAGTGAACATTCCCATAAATAGGTCTACACTGGAGACAGTGAAATCAGGCAGCACGTTGGAGGCAGGGATTTTGAAGCTTGGTCTAACATACTTTGGGAATGCTGTTAGAAGCAACCAATCCTTGGAGAAGGACATCATGCTTGGAAGGACAGAGGGTCAGTGTAGGCGAAGACAACCTTGGATGAGAAGGGTTGACACAGTACTGTGGCAATGAGGTCAGGTGTGCCAGAGATGGTGAGACAGCTCACAATAGGGCAAGTTAAGAGCCACCGTTCACAGGACCACTACGAGTTGTAGCTGACTTGAAGGCACATAAAAACTAGGGTAGAAGCATAGCAAAGATTAAAAAACACAAACCAAACCCACTGTTGAAAGTCAATCTGAACTCATAAACACTATCCATTAGGTTTCCAAAGCTATAAATCTTTATATGAAGAGATTGCCCATCTTTCTCCCTTGAAGCAGCTGATAAATATGAATTGCTGACCTTTCGCCCAACAGCCTGATGTGCTGCAAATTATATCACTAAAGAAATTAACAAAATCTAGTCCTCAGATTCCAATTTTTTTTTTTTTAAATTAAGGTTAAAATTTTTGGTTACTCTCAATTTTGAGAAATGTATATAACCACTTTTCCAGTTGAATGGTAAGACTATATCCATGCAGCAAGTGGACCTTAGGATATGGCAGAAGGACAAAATTTGAATTAGACAAGTTGAGCAGATGCTTTCACTGACTTTTTTTGTTAGGTGCTATACAGGAGAGCATGAGACATAGCAACCCTATGAACAACAGAGCTGAACTTTTCCCTATCCTGCCATCCTCACAATATGTTTTGTTCACACCTATTGTTATGGTTATTCTATCACTCCATCTTGTTGAGGGTCGTCTTCTTCTCTGAACTTGTAATGACATCCTTTTTCAAGGACTGGCTGCTCTGGACTACATGCCCAAAGTATGTAAGACAAAGTTTTACCATCCTTGCCTCTAAGGAGTACCCTAGTTGCAATTCTTCTAAGATAGAATTTGTTTGTTCTTTCAGCAGTCCATAGTAAATTTAATGTCCCTCTCTAATTCCAAAATTCAAAGGCAGTAATTAATTCTTTGGTCTTCCTTATTCACCATCCAACTTTCAGATGCACAGGAAGCAAATGAAAATACCATGGTGTGCTTCAGATGCACCATAGTATCTTAAGTGGCATCCTTGCTCTTTGGCTCTTTGGAGAGGTCCTTGATGACCTATTTTCCCCAATGCAACCTATCTTTTGATTTCTTGACTGTAGTCATGGGTGTTGACTATGGATCCAAATAAATCGCTGACAACTTTAGTTACATTCTTCATAGAGTCTAATTTCTTGATGTGCTCAGTACACAGATTGGATAGGTATGAGGTAAGGACAGAGCCCTGACACACTCTTCCTGACTGTAAACCACACAGTGTTTCCTTTTATCTCATGAGCACAACCAAGGGTTCTGGGATTTCCATTCACCTTAATGTTAACCAATTTTTTTGTTATAATTCACAGTCTTTGCATAGTCAATAAAGCACAAATAAACATCTTTCTGGTATTCTCTATTTTCAGCCAAGAACCATCTGACAGCAACAATGATATCCTTATGGCCTCTTCTGAACTTAGCTTTAATTTTTGGCAATTCCCTGTCAATGTACTTTTAAAAATGAACTTTTCTCTTGAGTATTTAAATTTCTTCCTCACTTACTTAAAAGGACTGTTATGAGACATAAATAAGAATACTTGACAGAAGCACTTAAACCATTTTCTATGGATGAAATATTTGGACCACTCTATTTGGTACCATGGGAGCTCTGGTGGCCTAGTGGCCAAGGAGTTCTGCTGCCAAGCCAAAGGCAAGTGATTCAAATTTACCAGCTGCTTCTTGAGAGAAAGATGGGCAATCTCCTCCTCCGTGCAATTTCTGAAAATCCACTGGAAGGTCAGCTGTGTGTTGGTTTGGTGGCAATTAGGTGGCTGGGGTGTTTGTTTTTTTTTAATTTAGCACCAAATATTATAGAACTATATAGTTATTCATATCCTTAATCTTTAATTTTTATCTGTTTTGTCCATAAAGTAATCCTTGTAAATGGGCCTTACTTTGATTCTTAAAAGATTAGCAACAAAAAAATTCTTAATCAAAATCACACAGAAAAAGGTTAATCACACAGTTTTATTTTTTGTTTTAAAACTATCTCATCCTCTTACATGTTTAAGTATACTTGTTTCTTCTATTTGCTACACGTTATAATTTTTTGTGAAATTATTTTTGCATCATAAAGCAGTTTTATTCCAATATTATCCTTTTTAATAAACTAGAAGGGGGGGGGAAATCCAGAGTTAAGAACAAACAAAAAACAACTAAAAATGATGGGGACCGTGTTGAGACAAACTGGAAATGAAGGAAAATTATTACCCACTTTGTATAGTAAGATCATCTAAGAACTATTTTATGTAAGATTAAACAAGTGAACTGAACTTAAAAGTAAATTGAATCATACCTGCTTTGTGGTATGAGGACGGAAACAGACATACACAGACACAGATAACACCACATATTCCTCACATCACATTAACCATTATTTTACTTAAAAAACTCAAATATTTTACTTCAAAAAGATAGGCTGGACAGTTAGGAATGGACCAGGACACAATTAATTCCTCACAGCACTTTAACCAAAATACAGTAAACAGTACAGAAAATAATAGGATGCATACTGAATTGTATCCCTAATGGGCAGTCTCTTCCCTATGGATAATTACCTCTCTGCCACCAAGCAAACCCACTTCTGTAAAGTTTGATTAGACTCAGTACTTTACAGACCAGAGGAAAACTATCCCATAGGGTTTCTGTCTGAGGCTGTAAATTTTTACAGGAGCAGACCACCTCATTTCCAGCAAAATAGCTGGTGAGTTCAAATCACTAAGCTTTTGGTTAGGAGCCCAATGCGTAAACCACTGTACGAGTAGAGCTCTTCTACAAATAATTTTATCAGATATGTATTTATCTGTCCCAGAATTCTCCAGGAGCAGGGTAGGCTGTTTTGCTGATTTTATGCCCATCATTCTTGTTAAGTACTTACTATCATCTCCAACAGGACCTGCTGAACACTGTGCTGGGGGGTCCCGTGCCAGGTCATTCAATTCCTTAAGAGGAAGAAAAGACATACTCAACATTACTTTCATCCATTAATAAATTTACACTGTGACTATCAGCATACCAATGTAGCTCTTTAAAAATATGACCTCATGTCAGAAGCATATAAGCGAAACATCAAAGTATTTCAGATGATATACATGTCTGATTTAAGAAGTGTGTCATTTTTGTTTTATTTAGCTTGGTAGGTAAAAATGGTAAGAAAGCTAAACAGGTATTATATTCTAAAGAGCTACAAAATCAGTTTTCAAACAAAGACTCAGACCTATTTTTCCATCTCAGAAAGATGAGGCTGTGCTTGGGACAAGTTCTTAAAGTTATAAAAGGTCCAAATTATACTGGATTGTCTGACACAATGTGGTTTTTGCAGCTGATGTTTTATACCATGGTTCAAAAGGTGGAAGAAAACAATTTTAAAGATATATTTAAAAGGCTGACTAGAGTAATAGACTCTACTGATTAGACATTTGTAATCAGAGGCTATCTATACTAATGCTCTACAACCAGATGTGGGTTTCCTTTGTATTTAACCTAACAGCCCACAATCTTGAGACATGTCTTTAAGTTGAGGTTACCCTTTTCCTCGATGCTTGTTTTTTAAGTCCTAAAGACAAATTTTAAAATAAAAGAATTTTTAAAACTATAACACTAAAAGCTAGTATTTTACATTACCAATAAAAACTATTTAGAATCTTAATAGGCTATAGAAAGGTGTGATTTATTATTCTCAATGTTATGTATCTTTTAATGAGCAGCACTTAATTGTTTTTATATATTCCTTCCTCAGAAGTCAAACAGCCATTTTAGTACAGCAGTTACACTTTTTGTTCCTATTGAATATTTAGAACATAAACCACACAGAAATAGAATTGTTCCCTATCTCCAAGGAAAAAGAACACAAGGATTGAGATTAAAATTTAACAAAATTTCCTTTATCAAATATCTTAAGTTTTAGATTTTGTGTCTCCCTACAACAGATTCCCGGTCGATTCTCCTGGAAAAACAATGGTCTATAGTGCAATAAAGGTGAGTATAATGCACACCCATTTTTATTGCAGCTTTGTTCACAATAGCAAGGAGTTGGAAACAACCTAAGTGCCCATCAACAAATGAATGGATAGAGAAGCTGTGGTATAATCACACAATGGAATACTATGCTGCATTGAAAAACAAGGAACTCATGAATTATTATACAAAATGGGTGACCCTGGAGGACATTATGCTGAGTGAAGTATCTCAGTCACAAAAGGACAAATACTGCATAGTGCCACTGTTGTAAAACAGGACTGACCTTGGGTTTGGGGTGAGACTAAGAAAGATGAGTTCAATATAATGTATACTGCACTGAAACAGATGAGGGAGAAAACAGTTTAAAAGAAATATGTGATTAGGTATTTTTACCATGATAGGAGTCTAGAGCAAAGGCTACATGGTGGAGTGGACCTGGGGGAGGGTTTGTAAAACAATGAAAGAATTTTACTTTTCCAAGAGGGTAGTGTTCTGGGGGTAGGCTTGGGAGGGGAGAAATGTGAATGAATGGAAATCCAAAGTCTCTGTAAATTTTCATTGAAATGAATAATAAATTTAAATTTAAAAAAAATTTAAGTTAGAGTAAGGAAGGCAATGGATTTATAACTGCTCATGCTAATAACACTATATCATGGCATGGAGGAGGAATAGTGGAACTGTACTCACATTTACAATATTCTTATCAAAACCATTTATGGAAAATAGGAACTGCATTGGACATATCTCTCTAGATTGGAAATGATCATACTGATTCAAAATTATTTGTTATATATTTGTTTAAATTTTTCCCTCTTTTAACAACTGGGATCTACAAGGAAAAGACCAGAGAATGGCCAAAATTATTGTGGCGGCTAGTGCTGCCAGTTTAGGGCCTGTGTCAGGAGAAGGAAGTCTTACTCATAAACAATGCCACCCAAAAGTAATAAAGGAGGTCAGAATTGCTTCCATGTGGAAAGCTGGGCCACTTCAGTAGACAGTGTCACAGACGAGAGCCACAGATAGGCAAGGGAGTAGAGAGGAAGCTCCCACTCACTTGCTTTAAGTGTGGATCTGAAGGATACTTAGCCAAGGGCGGCCCACTTCAGGTCCTCGTGGCTAACAAGACTGATAGGCCCCAGTTCCCAGCTGGAAACAAAGAAGGACGCTTCAACGATTCAGATCCTCCCAGAAGAGCTGTGGGTGAGCATTAACATTACTGTTAAGTATATTCATTTTCTCCCAGACACAAGAGCCTATTATTGGGTCCTAAAAGCCTTCTGAGGTCCCAACTCTTCTATTTCTTAGTTGTTGGAATGGACGGAAAACCTCATAAGCAGTTCCTTACTTCACCTCTGCCTTGCAAGTAGACTCTGGCGCTGTAAAACAACCCAGTGTAGATGGAATTTGGTCCAGGACTTCAGAACAATAAATGACAGTTGAGCCTCTACATCTTGTGGTTCCTAACCTTTATACTATAATAGAGAAAGTGCTAGTCAATAAGCCTTTTATTTTAAGAACTACCTTCCCTCTGTAACTTAATTTGTGCCACTGTTAGAACCTCTACTTGGAATATTATTGCTTTTAAGTTTTGACTCGTGTACTTTTAACTTGTTCGTTAAATTTGTGTCTTCTAGGCTGCAACAGTTCCATGATGCATCTTCAAGGATATGAGCATGTATGGTTAAGCACAACTGATAACAGTGCATCTAAATTCCAAAATCAATCTCCACAATAGTCTAAGTGTTTCCTATTGCCAAAGGGGGCCTTTAGAGTAGTGAGAGAAGATCTTCAACCTGAAACCTACAGTGTCCCTTTTCAGCAGGAAGTAGCTAAGAGAATACGCCATCCCCTTTTCCTTATGAATCAGGATGAAATCTCTCTCAGGGAGGAGTGGTAGGGAATGGCAAAGGACACACTGACAAAGGAGATTAAGCAGAACTGGTTTTGACAAGCACTGTGGCAATGGGACAATTAAAACAAACTTTCAAGGAATATTCAACCTGAATCCTTCTGATCATATGGAGATTTTTGAAAGTATTTCTTTAAGTTTATTATATTTGTTTTATTTGTTTGTATATAAAGGATACTCATCTAGATAACATAATTATGATAAAAACAAAAGGGGGGACTATGGGAAGCCAGTATTAAATATTTGTAATAAATGGAATTGAAATTTAAAAATAAAGGAAAAAAAAGGTGAGTATAAGAATACTTGATTGACTTAGAACACAAAAACTATCAATTCTTTTTGACTATTGTAGCAATAGGTTACTATTAGACTATAACTTGTATTAAAAAGCTTTTCTCAAGTCCTGTCATCATCATTAAATAGTATTTTCCTTGGGATATATCCTAATCTTTTGCTCCTTTCAGTCACATTTTTCCATGCTAAATGACATCAAGAGAGCTGAGATTGATCTAACAAGCTGAACTTAAGATCCATCAGTACTTTTCATGTGCTGCTGTGATAGAATTAATTTTAAAAACATAACTCAAACTTAGGCTGACAGACCTACAACATGTTGATTCAACAATTCCTTGATATAAGGAACAGGAATGAATCTCAAAAACATAATGCTAAATAAAAAGGCACATAAAGATTATAAATTATAAGATTCTAGTTATATATCATATCAGTCTAGAAAAGCCAGCTGCTCCAAGAAACAAAAATGGACAATCAACATCCATGTGATTTACTCTCCCTCTGAAAGCCCACTGGAGGGTCAGCTATGAGTTGGTCCTGAGTTGACAACAATATAGTAAAGAAATAGATCAGGGAGCTCTGATGGCCTAGTGTCAAAAAGCTGTGCTGTAATTCCAAAGGCCCGTGGTTCAAATCCACCAGATACTCCACTGGACAGATGGGGACACACACTCACTCACTCTCTTTCACATAAAATACATCAATGGCTATAGGACTGATTACAGAAGAGACGAGGAAAATTTGGGAGTGAATGAAAATATTTTGTATCATGAGTTCGGTAGAGGTTGTACATATTTATCATAATTTAAACTATTTACTTAAAATTGGTAAATTTTATTGTATGTAACATGTATCTCAATAAAGCTGTTATTGTTTGAAAAAGCATATATCCATTCACCATTTTATATATGTATAAATTATTTCTGAACACAGGAACCTAGTTAACAGTAGTTGTCTCCATGAAGAAAAGCTGTCTGTTAAGAGTGAAGATGGGAACTGTATGCATTTTTTAAGTATCTTTTGGATTTTATAACAAATGTGTTGCCAATTTGGAAAAGAAATTACCTTTTCTTTCTGTAACTCTAGACTAAAACATAGTAACAATAAAAAGTCATCATATCTCCTCAATTAAATAAAAAGAAAACATGAAAATGTACAGAGCCCTATTTTTTTTTTAGTGACTACAGGGGTAGGAGAGAAGGGAGAAAGAGGGGACACTGATGGTTCATGATCAATACCCTGGTAGTGCAGGAGTAAAGCACATCATGTAAACTTGAAGGCCAGCAAAAGAGGAAGACTCTCAATGAGGCAGTCTGAATAGAGATTATAAGGATGGGCTCCAAACATAGCAGTAATTGTGAAGATGTTGCAGAACTGAGCAAGTGTTTGTTTTGCTGTATACTGGGTGGCTATGAGTTGGAACCAACTCAACAGCACTTAACAACTAGGAGCTGGAGGGAAACAGAAATGAGAAATTATTTTAATGTAAGAAACAGTTTCTGTTTAGGATGATAAACATTTGGAAACTGACAGTGGTGATAACTGCTGAATATGGTGAATATAACTGTTAAAATGATTTAAAGGACAAATGTTTCAGTAAATAATTTAACAGTAATATTTTAAAATAGTTGCATATCTAAAGGATATTCTGAATAAAAACGTAACTTATAGAAAGTGTCAATGAAAATGAAAAGTGAATATTACCCTCTGCAGTGATTAAGACAGAACATTTTAGGCAGGGGAAAAAATGAGTATGTCTGATTTCATAAAGAAAAGTTTATTGGTTTGGTTTTAGATCAA